GTACATCTATTTAATGGGACAGCAGAAGCAGCACCCTGCCTCTCACCGTCTCTTAACACATATAGACAATCATCGAAACACAATCGCTTATCCAGGAGTGAAATTTTGAATATTCTTAATGATCTGGTCCTTGAGGTTTCTCTCGTAGACTACATGGTTGCACACGGCGTGATTTCGGCTTCATCAGCACGAGAGCTTTTACAAGTTCAGGGCAAAGGTACAAACGGAATTGAGAAACTCCTGGATCTATTGGGTTCTGAATGCGACACTCCACAACATTACACCCAGGACGCAAAGTTGGTCTTGTTGACAAACGCCTTGCGAAGTACGGGCCAACATGCCTTAGCGAGTCGACTAGACTGTGGCCGGAAAATCAAACCCGCGCCGCCTACTGACGCGAAACTCGACAGCAACGAGTATGGTTGTGGTTCTGGTGAGTATTCATTTATACCGATTCCTGAAGGCAATGGGTTTTTTGGGATTATAAATACGATAAACAATATTTGTGCTTTGTTAGTTGTTCACTGTTACTGATCTGAAGACTTGTAATTATCTATAAACTTGGAGTTATCTCTCATATCATGCTTGTAGTTCGCTGGAAATTTTCATTTCACCTTGCTTATTGGGGATCTGGACTTGTAGAAACAACGTCCTGTTCTATATTTATGGTGATCTTGTAACTGTCTGTAGCCCTCTCGCAAGTTTAGGTTCTCTGATACCGGAATGTGTTTGTTTCCTGTTTGTGTTTGTTGAATCTTTGTAGTTTAAGGATGTCATATTTTACCTTAAACCTGTTATCTTACGAAGTTCGCCTTTTTCATTGAAATTTTTATGCTAGCCAGACTTTTTGCCCTCATTATGTTGTTTTTTACATCTGCTTGACAAATGGGAAAAGGTTGTTTTGGAAATTAACATACATCACTGCCTTTACAAACCTTATCATGCAACTCTTTCATAAAACTTGCTCTTTTGCACGTCATTTTATCACATTTTAGTACATTTTGATATGCCTTAACCTCTGCTAAATACGCCAGTATTTATTTGGCATACTAGTTAGTCTTGTATTATCGTAGCAGATATGAACAGTTGTCATTGTCACTTCCCGACCTCATTCACGATACGAGTCTGAAATACCTCTCTTTGGAAACAATCGCTTGCACATTAGTCTTCAAACTTCTGTGATTTTAAATTATTCCAGGTCTAAAAATTGTTGTCTTATCTTTTGGTGGCGTGCTGTTGGAACCGATACCCTGGTAAATGTAATCCCGTCTACCTCGAATGTTATAGATTAACGATTGTAGTTTGATTAACCAGTACACCCATAGGAAACAGCGTTTTTTCTAATCATTTGTTTTGCTTCGCGAAAGTAGGAAGACGTGTGAAGCATCATGGAACACTTCATTTTTTTAAAAGGCTATTGGATCGCTTTTTAATTCTCCAGCAAACTGCAGCAAAACTCCATTTCCAAGGAATGTGTTAATTCGCACCATTTGTAACAAAACGATGGGAGAATCACATGCTGTTGCACATAACACTTCTTGTCACTGAAAAAAGTTCAATGACACTTGGCTGGTCGGAAACGTCGTTTCTGCGCCATTCCAAAACAGGGGAGGTTAATTACTGCATAACTGGAAAAATGCAGCCTCTAACTAAGTCAAGGCAAGCAGTTTCCACTTATAGCATTAGTTAAACGCATTGACTGGATGCGTAGCATTGAGTGTAATCGCAGCGAATGCCCAATGTAGTAACCATCCGAATCCCTCATCTCCCAATAACTTTGTGGTAAGGTTATTTTTCTTGATATACGCCGCAAGAATCGCATGGGACTTTACGCTTAGAAGGCGTAGGATGCCTTGTCCTGAAACGTTCCCGGTCACATTGGCCTCGGGGCTATGTTGTGGGAACGACAAGACAAATTACTCAAGGTATGTTCCACAGATGTGCGTCAAATTTACACGTACTCAACTGCAGTCAACCAAGCATCTGATTATCTCTGTTTTTTGCGATCAATTTGCTTCTGCTCTCAAAACAGAAGTCGTTTTTATTCTAGGTTTTATTGTGTGCTGTCTAGGAACATAATCGTTTGCAAGCTTGTTCAGTAGATGGAACAATCTTTGCATTTAGATTGTACATCAAGCATTGTTTATCACTCTATGTTCTTTTCTAAAAGCTGAATTCGGTTGTAGAACATCATAAGCCAAAATCTCTGCTGTCGTCTAATATCTGCGCACTTGCGTGTCCAAGGAAGATCTATCCGGCGCAGGAATTGTGCGTATTTTCAACTTGTATTATCATTAAAACCTCTCCTATCGTGGTCGGGATTTGTTCCACTAACTCGTTAATTTTAAATTAGCCCTTTGAAGCTTTTGGAATTATTCATTCCTGTCGTAGCTGGTAACAGAAGTGGTAATCACTTATGCTGGAACATTAATTAAGTACTGAACTGGGTCGTAAACGAGGGCCCACCAACTCACTGCCCAAAATATGAAGCAAAAGGCACTTGAGTTTTTTGTCCAAAGGTAAGCATACTGTACAATGAAAATTGGCATTATCACGTGTACTCGAGAATACGACTGTATTGCGTACTTATTTCCACAATGTGTAACCTTCTCCATTTTGGTTTTACGCTGCACTCACGCGTCAGCTATTCACCGTCGTAGCAAATTCTACTATTTACTACATTCACCTTCTAACGGCTCTCAGCCCACGTGTTGTTTGGCATTTTAATCGGCACAACTACTGTACCGCGCAGTCGCGCACTGGCCTCTAATGTGGCATTTTCACTGAGGACAAGGGAGGGACAGCGGTCGCCACAATTAGTCACCGCCACGCACACACACACACTAACCGACTTTGCCGCTGGCTAAGAAGTTCCCCTGAAATGTCCAACCTTCCGGGATCGTTTGCACACGTGAATCCAAGTTGTCGAAATGCCAACTGAGTTCGCTGGCCGAGTAGCCAATCAGTGTGCCGTATTCCGGCGCCTTTATTGATTGGCCGAGTTTGGATTTGGCAAGGTCACAGGTTTGAGACGCCATCCATATGCGGAACGCTTTGTGTTTTTGACGCGAGTTTGAAAGTTGTGCCAATGTAATGACATCCAGACCGGGTAAAAATGCTCCTAGACATTGCGAAGAAGATATGATTATCATTTTACAGAAGTACCCGTTTTAAAGCAAATTCCATCTGACCAAACGGTGATACCTTGCTAATTTCGCCAGATCACCAGTTTCTTTCCCACCCCAACCTGTTAAAATCTTACAAAAATCATTCTCACTCGCCTTCACATGATCAACCACTGACTCCTGTGGTTGGCATTCACTACAACTAGGAACTTCATGTAAATTAATCACAATTGATTCACGATCGAGTCTATTATGCAGTCGCGAACTGGAGTTCTTTGTGGGGGAAACAGCTGGTGCTTTTTTAGTCTACATTTGCAAGCACCCTCCGGTTGAGCGTCGATTTTAGTCACCGATCAAATGTGTTTCCGAAAACACGGAACCAGTAATGACTTTTTACCCTTTTTTCTGGGAACAGGGGCTGAACTAGGGTTACATCTGTCAAGTTCTCGTTTTAACCTGCCTCATGAAACCTGGAATGCCGCCCCACCGACTGTGTTTATCTAAATTTTGAGGACAAAGTTTTATGTTCACCCAACCGCACCCCTCACCTGTGGCGGCGACTGGAGCGACGACAGTTGTACCACCAGCAGGTGATTCCTCGTTCCGGTTTGAGTTATGTGTATCGAGCCCTCGATCGCCAACAAATTGCTCTGCATTGCATCATTAGTCGCCCGGCTGAACAGTTTTGCGACTTCGATCAATCAATCCTGACTTGCTATCACTTGTATTCTGTTCTACAAGTAAATCTTGTCACGCGACGAACAACATGTACCTTGTTTCCTGTGGCGCTCTCTATTGGCTCTGTTGATACGACCTTACAGTCAGGGTAGCGGCACCGACATATGCATGGATGGATCTGTCGACATAAGTTCTTCAAATTTAGCATAATTCGCCCATTACGGTTCGACGCCACCTTCCAGTTATTCTGTGGTGGCCTACGGCGGAATGATACGCACTATTTCGAGCTAACAGAGGTCAGTTCGTGTTGCTGGACTGGACTAGTCATTAGTGCACCCTCCGACCTGGTTGTGCGATTTTTTGTGCCGGTCGCCGTGACCAATCCGCCCGATTTTGGCGGTCCTGAAACCGGCACACCGTGCGCCGTGGCTCGGAGCCCCTTCAAAGCGCGGGCTACAGACGGCGTGATCACAGCTGTTTGCAATCTATCAAAAAATGGTGCCGTCCGCCAAGCCTCCTCCTCCGCCTCCATTTGCCGATTTCGCCCTGATTGTGGAAACTCGCTCCTCGGTATCATCCGTTGAATCGCCTCTCTGTCGCCGCCCGTTTTTTCTCGCCCTCGTCTCGTGCATATTTAAGCCAAGGCTTTGAGTCATTAAGTGTGTTTGTGGCAATCGCGTACACCTTTCCACTACCCACTTTCACTTACTCAGTCCTTGTGGCCGTCGACGCTGCGCTGTTTAGCCCCGGTGACTCATTTTTTTGGAGTGGAAGGGCAGGGGACAAGACTCGAGCACCTGTATCTTCAGGTTACGCGCGCCACAACGGCTGTCTATTATTGGCGTACTACGATGGGGCAGGTTTTTTTCGGCGCTACGCACTTTTGTTGGCTTGAGAGGTCTGCGGTTGCCAGGTTAAGCATTAATGAGAACCTCAGGCAGCTCTCCGTTGCCGTTGCACGCAATCCACCACTTCAACGGCGTCGGAACTCCTGAATAAATCTGATTCATTTTTGGAATATCCGATTTTGGAAACCTTTGATCAATTTGGTGTTTTTCACGCATTGCTAAAACATATTTGGTTGCATTTAGATCCGGATGCTTAGGGGGTGGTTGTACAAACTGGGCTCTAGACGTGTGCAGCTGATCAATAGTCCCATTTCAGTGAATGGTCTCTGGTGAACTGTTCTGATTCACATCTATTAACCCGGTTGGAGCCCACGACAGGTTATTGTCTAAGGAGAGGTGCAATATCTTGAATTACCAGCGTACGCGATTAAAACACGATCCTATAATATTGATGAATTGATACTACTGAAGCAACCTGTGTGCAAATGAGAAATTTTTGGATAACCAGACTGAGTTGCCATCCGGATCACGTGACTCCTTTATCCCCTAATCACCAGCTGAGTTGAACTTTTCGTCCAAAATGACCTTGAGCATGATCTCATGATCTTCTTTTGGGGCCTCCATCGCTCAAATTTGACCTGTTTGAAAGATGCCACACCTAAGCCCTCTACTAGTATCGAATTTCTTGGCAGAACATTTGTGGCTTCCAATTTTTTAAACCGCAATAAGTTGATTCAAAAACCGAAGTGCAAAATTGTATGGGTTTGATTCGGACCATCCTCTCGCAAATTCACACCGTTGTCCTAGGTGATATTCTATCCACTTCCAAGTCTTATCCACGAAGTTGAGTTTAAACCGAGCGTGCGTCGTGCCTGCTGCAAGCGAACGCCAACTTTGTCCCTGTCCTGGTGAATGTTTTCGGGGTTTCTTCGCAGTTAACTAACTGCATACACGCACACACATACAAATATGCAACGTGACCTTAATTCTGTCCTACAACGCCTGCGCAGTGTCGGTGGATGAATGTTTGGCTTTGCTGTAGCTCCAGACCAAGGTCGAATCTGTCTGTTGACCTTGTAGATGCCGCAGGCGGTCCGGCCTCTCCAACTCTCCGTCGAAGGGGTCAGCTCAGTCTGTGGGTGCAGGTTGCCGCGATTCGACTTAGTCCCGTCTACTACGAACAGCTCGTTCCACCGCCGTCGCCACCGCAGCGTCGCAAGAAGCGTTTGGTTCCTCTCACCAACGCCACCTTGGAGGACGGAGTCGTTGTACAAAAGTGAGTTCCGAATTCCTCTTTCTCAAACCGCGCCCGCATTCCCCATCTCCCTAACACCTCTTCTCCTACGACTCACTTGCTCCATCCTTTGTTTATTCACTGTGGTTTGTCGATTTTAAGGAGGTGAGATCGAGTAGGATCTGTCTTAAAAATGTCACTTAGCTAACTTACACAAGATCCTGGTAGAACAAACTGACTATGGCATTCTCTGCTTTCAGCACAACACAACTTTTAGCTATCCCGTCGATTTGCTAAACGCACTGTCACTGCGTTTTCTGCAAGTAGTAAACGTGTGATTCAAATCGATGAAGGTGGGATCAAATGTGCAATTATCGATTATAGGATCGCCTTGCAATTGCTAAGCTGATCTCTGTTGTGCGTTTCACTAAATCGGCGGTTCGACGTCATTGGTTCCGCGTGCGGTGTGAGGCGGAACTGGCGGTCGCTTGAGTGTCAATAGACTCTAGTCCACAAGACGGAAAGTTTTGAAGACGTTCAACGTTCGGCGACCCTGAACGTGCCAACGGCACTGGAGTCGTTCCCTTGCATTCTTTTGCGAGGCAGGCTGCATCACTGATTCGGGCGACATTAAATCCACAGCACCGATTACCATCGTAAACTATCCCGCCCATTGTGCCGTGACGTCTGCACACCAAATACTTGTTAATTGCCACCATTGTGGGCGTCTTTTGCACGATTAATGCGATCTTCGTCCGGAAACAAACCCACCGATGCCTCAATTTCTAATTCCGCGCATTGTGGCACAATTCTTTCGTCGTCATTGTTGTTGAGTTGGCTTCCAGTTGGCTTGGGAGTCTCCCGGACTGACAAATTTGCTCAACTAAGGTTTTCGCCCATGAAATTGACTGCCTCCACCTCGGTACATTGCTTAACGTCAATCATGACTGCGTGACACTGTTCTCAAAGTGAACCAAAGTACTTGGAAGTAAATTTTGCGAGGTCAGCTGTTACTCGAGTGCCACAGCATCCACTCGAGCAGCAGAATAGTTCTCAAAATGCCGTTTTCTGTCCCGCTGTGTGTGCGTCTTTCGGCTCACTCGAAAGACCGCTTCGTACTAGTACTTGAAATTCTTGTTCCAACCACTTTGCCATTCCTGTTGTTTGCCAGCTTGTATTCAATGCCTGTAAACGATTTGTCAGCTTTGTTAATTGACCAATCAGCGTTTGGTTCGAAGGCCGTGAAAATGGCGCAATTTTCAAATCTGCCAATGTGGCAAACGCATTCTCTTCGGGTGTTCAGAACAGAATAAATTGACGGAGATAATTAAAATTCATCTGTATATAATGTTTATCAGATTGGTAGGGACCACTTACTTGATTAGGAAAGCAATTATTCATGAATTTAACTTCCTTTGAAAGTATATAATTGAGTTCGTGTGGCGTGCGCATCTTCGTAAAGAGACAAATTTCAGTAAAATCCATCCAAAACTAAGTAAGATGTGTGTCATTATGTGTTTTTTGAAATGTAGTCGCGTCTTTCATAGACTTGTTCAAATTTGGAGTGCCGTGGACTAAATGAGACCTTATGGAAGGTTTCATGAGGAAATGAATAAAGCAGATAGGAGCACTTGGTGAGATCTGGCGAAACGCAGCCCTCGTCACTAGCAAGCTGCCGTCGTCATCGAAGTGTCAAAGAATAAGGTGGGTAGAGTTTAGCCTTAAAGGTAAAACACAGGGTCACATTAAATTGCCATCAAATTTCCTTCTGACCCCTCCATAAATATGCAAAAGTTAGTGAGTTTTCAAGAGGTCAGAATTTCCACAAAAGTACTTAAGTTTAATGTGTACACAGCAATAGAGACTTTTGCGCTGCTAGGAAATAAAGGCAAGCAAAGTAAATATTAGTTCCTCCGACGTCTTGTGGAACTGAAGGAGATTAGCTTGTCGAAGTGCGTTTGCTCTATGACACGGCGATTTGCAGCATTGCTGGAAGTTGTGCGCCTGATTTCCCAATCGAAAGTAGCATCTTCCTCAAGGTCGCTTGTGTTTGCGCTGGCGCCATGAGTTACCGCGGACCGATTAAAACAACCGCCGTGCAAACTTGTTTCCAGTCTACTGTTGCGACAGGACACGACACTAAATTTTGTCATTTTTGACTCATTTAAGTGTTCAAACTTGGGCACACTCAGTTAAACTGTGTGGTTATTTTAAAAGCGCAATTTCATTGGTTGATCGTGCTTTATTTCCAGGGACTTAATTAATTTGCGAAAAAATGTCGTTTCGGGTTTCATAAATAGCGTCATGTTTGTTTTGAAAGATTTTTAATTTCCCATTTTATGGGAATCGCTTGTTTAATTTTGAAGCCGGTTGCGCTTACTTTTGTTTACATCTACCGGTTTAACTAGAAACGCCAGAACGAACATTTTGACATATTTTGTTCTTGTCTGAGTTCATGAGGACAAATGTCAAATTTGCAGCGTTCAAAATGGCCTGAAATCCTTGTTTCTGGCGAGCTCGAAAATAAATCGTCCTCGTCAATTAAACCAATGAAACTCGTTTTGGCACAGTAAAGAAACGGTCACAATCGATAAATCTTACGGAAATTGTGCCCAATCAGGATAACGCAAGGCTTCACAATATTTGGTAACTCACAAAATTATTGGCCTTTGCGGTTCTAGTACCTTCCAGTAGCAAAGCCGCCAGCGATTATGCTGATTTGGAATCCCACCTGATTTGGTTTTGCTAAATAGGGCTCAAATTACCACGTGAAATGAATCGCGAAGTTGTCGAAACTACCACAGAAGATCACTGGATGAGTTGGTGTCACTGAGTTGCCATAGCAACGACCCACTTTGTGGATGCTTCTTCTGCGTCTTCGTCGCGCTCACAAATTTCTGGGATGGAAGTCTTGTTTTATGACCGCAGAGGTGCGTTGGATGGGTATCAAGATATTGTTGCGAATCGTGTTTATTCACACCCCTTAACCCGGTCGCTTCACCTCAGACACAGGGTTCTCCTTTTCGCAGCATGTCGCCAGCAGCGCGGATCCTCAACTCCCCCTTCATTAGCACGAATATTTACCTTGGAGCATCCCCACACCTAGGTCTCGATGTTAGCGCATGTATGACTCACACATCAGAGGCATAAATACACCCGCGCAAAACCCACACATGACACAACGACACCAACGTGGTTGAGCTCTGAAGTAAACGGTTGTGTCCACGTCCTCTCCGATCTTTTTCCTCATCGCCGGCATCAGGGAAACGTAATCGGACCAGGGTTAATTCCGTGGCCCCGGCGTGGTTCAAGACCACATGCCGGGGCCCACAACAATATCGATAAATTTCGACCCCCATGCAATGTACTTTAAACATTTTGAGCCCGGAGTCTAGACAGCGTTCCCGAGGTAAATGAAGCGCCCTTCTTTTGACCTTCCACCGATCCGATTTGGCCGAGGTCTTCACAGTTGTTTTGTGTGTAAGCTGTACCCCAACTTACGCAAAACCTGTGCCTGTTCGCTCGACAATCTTTTCGTTTAATTACGCATTTCTTCGCAGTCGCCGGCCAGCAATTTTTGCCCCGCGTGCGTGTGCTGTCCAAATTTGTCAAAATCTGACTAGGCTGCAGCGCTTTTCTCTCTCTGTCAGTTGGTTGTTCACCCTCGACAATAACGAAATCCATGCAAGGCCGTTCTGGCTGTAATTCGTTCATTAACAGCAGCTGTAAACTTCCCATTGGTCATTTGGAAAGGTTGGTCTGTTTAAAATCAAACGCTTCGGTTGATGTGGGTGGCTGTTTTTACTGCTTTTTGGTGTCGGGGTTCGAGCTTGGGACTGATCTCCCAAACTCAACAATTCACGGTTGGCAACTCCGGTGTACCATTTGGGGGTTGTGTCAATCTCTAATCAATAACCCTCCAGTCTCAGGTTACCAACAAGTGTTTGTACTCCGTTTCGACGTAGAATGGGCAGCCACATTGCACTGCGTCGTTATGCTCCGTAATAATTTGAGTTTAATCCCTGCTCAAGTTTGCTCTAACTTGCCCTCCCCGCCTTCGCGCTGTCTCGCATCCCTGCCTCGTAGTTGGCGGGATGTAGGTGAGTCAGCTCACTCGTCCTGTGTTCATTAACGCTGGTCTGGATGGGAAATTGTCGGGGTTTAGCGCTGCCACCGTTGCTTTAAGCACAGGCCAATCCTGATGCACAAGGCAGATTTTATGTGCTGTCAGCTTCGTATTATCTTGTCTCTAGACTGCGTCAATGTCTTCATGTGTTCGATGTCGAAAGGCTGTTCACCATAGCTACGTAGCGTTGCTTCGTTTCGTCGTATTGTTGACGTTATAGAGGTCTTGAAATTTCCCGGTCAATTCTAGTGCTACCACATACACACACAGAATTAACCCCACTTGTGGTGCAGTACAAGGGCGCAGGCATATTGTATCTCACCGATTTCAGCCAATCCAATGAAGATCAACAGCCAACCAGAAACAAGAACCAATGAGAAGCACTATATAATAAGCAACACAGCCGGTTTAGCAGGTTGAGATGGACGACGCCTAACGGGTAGCTTTAAATCCTGCTCTGTTATACCTGATGTGCCAGGGCCAGGGTATTCTACACTTAATCCCGAAATTAAGGTGTGAATCAAGAGACTAGTGAAAACAAAGAAATATGGACGGGATTCGCACCTCACAAGGTCACCAGAACAGTGCAAGGTCGCACCCATATTCGCTGACGAGTCGAAATGAAATGGACCGCCATTAAATCGCTGCTCATTTCAAAACCGGCCACGTAACTTGGCGAGTTTGCTCTTCGACCTCGAAATTAAAGTGTCAATCGATGAGAACAATCGCAGGAAAATAGACGGGATCTGATGCGTGCATAATGCTGCTTAGTTTTATGTTAATTTGTGCACTGAAAAAGAAACACCTTAAAGAATTGTTGTTTATTTTTTTCATTTTTTAGCCTCATGGAAACGTCCCACGGTGCCTACTTTTGGATAGACCTGAGAAGTTCCTCCGTCAAACCCCTGTCTCCTGAGCACGTGACGTCGACGCCTCTGTGTGAGACTTCCACGCTGAAATCGCAAGAGAGCGCTGTTTCGCGTTTCTTGTGTTTCGTGTGCTGTGTCAGGAAGCGTCATAAGCAGAGTGCGCAACAGCCCCCGCCACCCACTGGCACAATCGATGGACCCCGCGCCTCTGTTGACTACCGTCTTCCCTCCTCGGTACTTCCACTTTCCCCCCCGACCCAGTCGATAAAGGAGGCAACACCGGAGCCTCCGAAGGTCTCCAAGGAGCGCGAACAAGAGGAGCGTCTCCGCCGCATGAAACTCGCCATCCTCGATGCCAAATCGAGTGACTTCTACGCCGGCCTGGCCAACCCCTTGAGTGATGCCGTGGTCAAGTTCCTGGAGCAGACCCTGGGCGTCCTGGTGCTCGGAGCACGAGTGGAGAGTCGCTGTCCCGTCGACTGTCTCCCACAGGGCCTCCTTCAGCCGCTCTCCGCCGCTGCGACAGTCTCGATCGTTGCAACCACCTGCGAGGCGCTCGAACGGTTGCATGCGGCGGTAACTCTGCTGCCCCAGGAGAACTCCCACCTGCCCCCATCCAGCGCCCTCTCAACCGCCCTGGAGTCCATCTTCCGGCAGGAGGTTGGCTTCCTCGAGAGCATCGATATTCAAGACGTTCGACTTAGTGTTGGCCTGCAAGAAGAAGAGGTCAAACTCGCTGCCAATGAGCTGGCGGAGTGATTCCGTTCTGTGATTTTTTTCTTTGCTTCGCTTTCTTGTCCTGACGCATTTGGCGGCTCGCCTCCTCTTGATTTTTTTTCCTTTTCTGTTTGCGCACACGCTTCTTTTTACTTGATATTACCGCAACTTCGAAGTATCTAGTACGCATTTTGTACATAAAGGCTTTGCAAGGGTATCTGCTTCTTGTCTCGTCTTTTTTTGCCTTCCGAATATGCTGTGTTTAGATCTGCCAAGCGACTGAGTAGGTACTCTCGCTGCAACTTGGGTTGTGGGACGCCGCACGAGGTGTGTGGCGGTTTTGTTTAATTGTTTTTAATTTCCCCACGAGGACTGTGCTGTTCCTCACAGGGCGGCCCCTCTGTTCTACGAAACCACGCATTCTCGCCGAGACGTTTCTAAGCCCGTTGTGTCGCACTAGGGCGCAGCCATTTGGAATCATGTCAAGCTCAGCCAATCCTCTGTCTCTTTGTGTGCTTGAATGGCCTACGTTGAAGATCAGCAGCCAATAAGATAGGCGGTATAAAATGAGCGATGCAGCTACCTCAGTAGACTCGGATGGTAGCCCCTGAAGCATGGTTCTGCCTCGTGATTGGTCAATACAGCCTGCCCTGTTGTACCAGCCCTTTGCGTTCCAGTGTTCAGATATTCAACACCACTTAGTGCTGAATCGGATCAAAATGTCGACAATTACGAGCCTGACTGCGTGGCTTGTGGTGTGATGTAAGATGGCTGCATAACTCCATGACGGTTATTCTATGCAAAAGGCCGGTTAAAATGGCATCCATTAGCTGGAACAGCCTAGTCATGTGGGAATTCTGACACTTAGACAGATCTCAAGTGCGGCGGCAGTGGTTGCTACAGCGACTGGTGGTCAGTTAATCAACCAAAACAGCTTCCTGCTGCACCAATATGTTGTCGGATGCGACCACATATGGAGGGGTGGCGTCATTGTTGCATTCCATTGCTGATTCACATCCCAAGTTGCCTGACGGCTGTACTGGATTGTAGTTGTTTTGGTGTAGGGACGGCATTCTGCTGTCTACCCTTTACAACTGACACGTGTTTGCAAAGAGTATCAATCTATCAACCCGCGCCATTTATAGACTAAAGAGGTAATTTGTTTTGAAAACGTTGCGCATAATCACAATGAACCCTCCTAATTTATCTCGGAACTAGTCAACGTTTGAGCACTACTACAAGTGAACTTTACTAAAGTCCCTCTACTCAGTCATTTACGAGTAGTTTGTGACAAGTGAATGTACTCAATCGTGGGTTAATCGCAAGCTATGGACAGTGGCACGTTGGGGCGACCGTGTCATGAGGTTAGGATGGGGTGTATGGAAGATTTGAAAAAAAAGCAGTCGTCGATTTGGCCCCGAAATGTCCCAATCAGAGTGAGGAAGGGGGGAGCCACATTCAAACAAGCTGCTACTTACCTCATCGGTGACAGATGTGGGTTGATTAGCAAATATCGCCTTTTCCTTGTTTCTGAATGGTCCGTTGTTAGGTTCTGACTTGGTTTTCTGCAGCCCTGTCGAGTTGATTGGCTGAGCTGATTGCTCCACTTTGATATTGATCGACAGCCGGCAGATAATGGACCAGATGAGCAGATACCTTCTTCACCCACAATCTAACTGGCTTCTATTGTCCCTCCCTCCCGTAAATCTACCTATTTGGGGCACCAGATAGATAGGACCCACCAATCGAAGCTGATTGTCTCATGTTCAAAATGACTGAACGAGAAAGCCCATTTTAGAAAGTGGGAAATGGCCGAAGTTCAATTCGTGTCACTGCCACCAACGTGGAATGTATGAGCCCTCGTAGCTTGAGGACAGAATTATCAAGAGGGGATTTGTTGGCAGAATTGTTGCCGACTTCCTGAATGCGTCTTTCATTATACAGGCGCTTTTTTCTCCCTGATTGGCTACTATTATTTTTTTGATTCATTAAAACACTCGTAGGCGGGGAATCGGCTGAGGTCCTTATGCGCCACTATGTATCCCATTTTAGCATCTCCAAATGTCACAATAAGCCAATAGGTGTTCGTGTTGCTCAAATATGGCTCCGCCCATACCGGTGTTACACCTCTTTTATAAAATTTATGAAACAAGACTCTCTGTGTTTCACATTTCCAAGTTTTTTTGCATATGAATGTGCTCATGATATTTGAACTGATCGCCGTGTCTTTTTTAATAATCGTTGTTTCCCCCAACGATAGGGAATTAAGAAAAAGGCTTTTTCTGGCTCTCAAAACAAGCAAATATGATGGCATGGTTGAACCAGAAAATTTTCCCTTAGAATTCCACCTTCAATGGCGATAACATGGTTTCAAAATCGCCCCATTTATTTGCTGCCTTTTGATGGCGGTGATTCATCCTGCGATCGCACAAATTCCAGTGGTAGAAATCGGAGTTATTTTCCGCGCACAAAATTAGTCACCGACAATACTAAATGTTGCATGAAAGCGAAATCTCTAAGAAAAGTAGCCAGAATTATCGTCTAAAACTCATAAAATGTATGATTTCTGAACCGAAACCTCAAGGTGGCTGAAAACGAAATAGCTAGTCCTATCATGCAAAATTTACGATAGCCAATGAAACCTTTGTGCTATTATCAGGTCATATTATTAGTTCCACTGCTATAGAGGTGGCAGATCAAAGTTGGCATTATTCACCAAGCTAATTGAATCAATTTACACTTGAAATTTGACTCGATTTACTTGGGTTAACATCGTCTTTCGCGTACAGATCATATCGATTGGTATCTTGTAGAATTAACGGACAGCAGACATCTCCTGGTTCGACAGCGTGCAGATGGAACGCTCGACCTTGTCGTCTACTCTTGGGATAATTCAACCCTTCTAACGTGCCCCAATTTCCCATCTCGCGTTCATAATAAACGAAAATTCACTTAGGGACCGGCTCCATGTTTCACATTTAAATGGAAAATAACACGATTTTCGGGAGACGACAGCGCAACACAAAATCTAGGGGGCGTTGATACGGTATAAATAGGTTTACAGTCACTGATGAGAAGTAATGACTACGATCAGTGCGCCAGGCGGTGAGGTGGGGGAGGAGGTGGAGGTGGAGGGGGAAAGCAACCAATCAGTGCTTCGGACCGGCGCTCGGAGCACGTCGGGAGGTTCTTGAGGGTGGCGTCACGTGACCTCGCGACGCGGCTGGCGCGGCCTGCAGACGCGACGGAGGGTCCGGCTGGTGTGGGCCGTGGTGGTTGAGGTGGCCGGAACCGGAACGCCGGTTAATCTGCGTGCTGCTTCCACTCAGCCACGGCACGGTCTTACAAGGGCATAATAAAACGTTTGCAGTTTCCGTGCCCACAAGTAACACTTGTTCGCTTGACTTTTTCTCCAGTGCTGCGGGTGTACACGCGTATGTCAAACCACCCCGACTACGGATTGTTGGAATATCAGTGTCGGCGTGTGCATTTAATGCACGCATTTTTACACATATTTGCCTAATGTCAGTACTTCGAACAAGCAAGCAATAGTTTTTTATTCAGCGTGAAAAGTTAGTAGTGGATGAGCAGATGCTTCAAGTTGGGTCGATCATGTCTGTGCTAGTTATTCCACAATTTCTACCAAAAAAGCATATCTCGCTACAGGATCCTGTACATTATTATTCGATATTTAAGTAGAGGTCCCACGTCTATATAAGCAGTGCTTTCAGTTAGATGAATTTATGCTAACTCAAGTTCAAATAAAATGATTTTAGGTGTGTCACCAGGCCAATGCACATTTCTGTAAAAAAAATCTCGTCAAGTTTATGGAGTTACGTGTGCTTAAAACCGAAGGCAAACAATTTTTCGCATTTGCTAAGGCCACCATGGACGTTTTTAATGCTTCCAATTATACACTTATCTTTTAAGCTGCGTGAACTTAATGTGTGTGACCTTCAGGCACTGAAGTAACGACAGTTTTAAATCCTAGCAAACGGTCACATTGTTTGTTAGGTAAACTTTTCTTTCGGATCTACGTAGACACGCAGACTCTGACAACGCTTTACATGACGCCCCAAAACAAATCTCCCATCTGCGTACATTGCACGGCTAAGGCAATTTCCTTTGGGGGAGCCGTCCTGTGTTTCTGCTATGGAGCGTCATGATCGTGGCATAGTGGTATTGTGCTATCGTCATCGGTATTTAGTCAACATGCTGCGAGGCAAGGAACGCACTGACAATGAAGCCACCAAAGTTTTACTTCCTCCGCCTCCGACTCACCTTCGCCTCCACCTTCTGCCAAAATCAATCTTTACAGACTGTCCACCTGTCGACGTGTGTTACCTCCTCGTGTGTTGGGCAGTTGTGGTTCCACAATGCCTAGTATATTCGTGCACTGGAATGACTGAAGTGGAAGCACAGTCACCTCCACACAATCATTACACGCTCCTACCACGTCACTGCATGCGCCAAACTCTTCATTACTAGCATCATCATCAGCATCATGTTCGAGAGGTTGCACGTGCAAGGTCGTCGCCAGCGATTCTACCTCATCTACAAACATGCTACTCGGAGTTGCTGACGGTCAAGTCGTCTTCGTACGAAGTGTGTTCGGGATAATTTGCACAGGCTCTCATCAGGCATGTGCGAACCTTCTTCACTTCCATTACCTCTTGCCTCTTAACTGCTCACGCACTGACGTCACTTGATTCACTACCTAAGCCTGTGGGCCACCTGTCACATTGGTACATGTGCCGGCACACAACAACTCACAACAATTCTCCTAGCGTAACAGTGAGAACGTTTGGGTCTCCCCACCCGCATGGTCGCAGAATTTCGATCTTTCCCGGTCGCGTCATGTCCTAGTAGGTTCCATGTCCCTGGTGTACTTTAGGACGCGGCTTCTACACACATCCACTGATACTGAATGCTTCCAAGTCCATGTGATGCTAGTCAATGTGATAAAGATGACGTGCCTGGATTATGTATCACTGCTTTCAGAATGATTGCACCGACAGATATGGCCCTAATAGCATTCTAGTCATGTTAGTTTCAGATTGGGATGATGTTAGATAAGTAGGAGGGATATTAAAAGACGAATCAGGCAGTGTAAGGAGTTACGAGGCGTGAACGCAATAGACCGATGAGTGTGGTGAAGCAGAAATGAGATACAGATGGAGATGGTGACAGGATGTTGAGGAAATAAGGCATATTACTGAGTGACGTAGTGAATATAAAGGTTGACGAGAGAGAAAGAAACGTGGAAGAGGTGTAGGGAGCATGGAAGTCTTAACTAACTTTGCTTGCTTACGGCTGGCTGTAGTTTCATGCTGGTGCCTTTGCTGGAGAGTGAAATTGTGCTGCCTGCCAACTTCCTCTGGTCAGCTCTCACGAAGGTGTGGTGTGGAGCCGACTCCGTTGTGACGCCGGGACACGACGGTGCCGCGCGATCGCCACTCCTGGCTTTGACTGCCGGGCTCTGCAAGGACATTCCATCCAGGCAAATAACCGACGCCACCGTCTCCTTCGACGTGGGTCGCTTTGTAGGCTCGTCGTCTGGCGCGTCGTTCTGCACGGGGCCTTGGCTGGACGTGGATGTGGAATTTCGTGTCTTTTGAAAGTACGGAAGTTGAAGGAGGGCGGAACAGGTGCTGCGGCTGTTGGGATCCATGACAAGACACGACTACAGAAAGAGAGAAAAGGGCAGGGCTCATAATGGCTGTTCTACCATTGTTTATTTTGACAAACCGCTGAGCGTCAGTGCCAAGCTTGCCGCAAAATGGAACGGAAATGTGGAAAAAATCCCGACGGTGTTGCTTGGTGATGCCTGAAATTGACAAGACACTTAGGATTTGTGCCAGGGCGGTAGCAGAAAGGTGATTGGCCGCGGCAAGTAGTCTTCCATTTTTAAATTAAGAATACTAACTTGCAGTCACGTGACCAATCGGATAGCTTGATTTCTGAAAATTGGCAAAACAGTGGTGGGAGGTCGATCAACAGACAGGGAGGGGCAAGAGTTGGGCAGCATGACAACGCCAGGCAGCACGTTGCCATGGCGACTTGCTGGTAGTTATGGTTGTTTTGGTGGGAAGACCTTGTGTATCTAATTACTTAATCGCGAAATTGACTGGCATCATGTCCAATTATTGCCGAAGTGAGTCATTCTCATTTATATATTTCGCTATCAGAAACTGCTTCGATTAAACTTGGCTCTTAAACCTTATGCGTTTCAGAATCTTATCTGCATTACTTCATTGGACAGAGCTAGGGTAAAGTCTACTTCAAGTCTGTTTTTAGATGATTTTAACACACAGAAAAATGTAATTGGTTTAACTCACTTCACCGACGCTCTGTCGTTACTCCGACCTACATACAGAGGCTCTGTTTTGCCTCGAAATCGGTTAATTGTGTCAATAAATTTGTTATGTCCACCGGGATTAAGTCAATTAGCCAACCAAGTAGTCCATCATCACGTGTTCCGACAGTCATTATCGAAATGGGCACTTTTGTGGGCAGCCCAAGTCTCGGACAAATAAGGTTGCGATATCTTGGAAACGCACACGCCGCCATTGTGAAATTCGTTGATTGTATGTTCAGTCCTTGTCATTAAGATGCAGGCATGTGCTTTCAAACATACTGGTTTCTGCTGAGCACTATTTTAGAACCGGACAATAATGGTCTGCATTCATATTTATTGTATTCGTTTACTGCTCAGTTATTTATGTTTACTCTTTTTATCGTCAAAACATTTCTTGTTTAGAATAAACGTCTTTAGAATTCTTCATTTGCTACAAATTTATCCATTATTCCAGCAGCCGGTGTTGTTTACAAGCAGCAAATGCGCAGGACGAGAAAAACGGGTTTACGGAATTCTTTAGAATTATTTTCCAAAGTTAAGTAATCTACTGTCTTCGGAAGTTAAAGTGGGCTAATGAGGCATCATTTTCCAAACATTCGTGGCCCTTTCACCAAGATTGAAACAAATCAGAGGCACGATTGGAACTTGTCGGATTATTGGGCGTTTTTAATTACTTTAGTTGCAAATTTGTGCAACACAGCCGTAAATTAAAGGATTAGTCTCACCTTCAAAACTTCAAGTTCAGCTGGCGTAATTCTGGGTCTCATTCCTTCGAATTTGGCTTCCAGCGGTTCCTGAAGTAGCGGAAAAAAAACAATCAGAATCAATTAAATACCTTCTCGTCTTCCCCTAGGGAGATTCGCATGTTAATCTACCTTCCATGGCAGTTGGCACCCTAGGTCACATGTGAAATGTTATGGAAGCGAAAATATCTGTGATTGAAGGTAGGTTGATGTAGAATTTGGTTTGTATGAAGACGACGGTTAGGAAAATTTTCGCTACAAAAGCACTCAGTGAAACTGTGCTAATTCGCAGAACTAAGGAACCAATTAAATTGGGGTAACAGATGCGAAATCAATTGCTAAGTGGCGTATGGCAAAATTGAGAGCTTCGCAATTAGGAATTGAATGAGATTTGATGAGTTGCACTCCTTAAAAAACTCTCGTGACCTACTTAGGTGTTTTCTCCAACACCGTCCAACGGCTTAAGAAAGTTAGATGTGCTGACACTTTCGTCAACTTACCACAGTCTGTGGTCGAGGCAACACGACGCCAGAGAAGTAGCTGTTCGTCAGAAACGTCTTCTGCTGTTGCGGCAGTAGGTTCCCTAAAAGTGAATCACCCATGCATCCGTGATTTACGAATTTAGACAACCACATTAAGCTGGCTTGCACTGGAATAACAAACACCCGTACACAAATCGTGTTAGTTTTACTCCATTTTGCGTTGAAACTTTGCGTTTCCTATGTTAAAGAAATCACAAGATTTAAATCAGGTGGGTGTAGCATTTGTCATGTTATTTGTGTGTACCCCTTTCATCGACTATACCAGTTTTGCTAAAACTCCATTCAAACTCTGTTCATTTGTTGTAAACACTTACTGTTTACTTTTTGTCGGATTATAAATTATTCAGGACAACCGAACTACTTTTGCTGTTCTTCGATTCTTGAGCACAATCGGTTAGCGCAGGTGTTCTTAACACCTATCGGAAGATATGTGACAATCGCGAGGCAATCGAGATTAGATCATCTTTGGATTACCAGGCTGGAGGAGGTAGAACTTTAAAAAAACCTCTGCCGTGAACGTATTTCCAAAGCCGATTTGATTAATTGAAATTGGTTATCGATTTTTGATGGAATGTGTATCAACTGCATTTTGATATCTAAGATGGAAGGGTAGCAAGCCAATGAGCTTCTACGCCTTAAAATGCCTTGACTGGAGATGAAAACATGACGTATTGGTTATTTAGTGGAGGGTAACCAATACCTGCTTTATGTATCTCATTAATCTTGCACTGGCGAACGCAATGAATTCGGTTGCCCGGAGGCATCATACTACCACGGCCGCGTGTATAGGCTACCTCAAACTATAAACCGTAAGTCAGTTGAAGGTATAATTCGATAAAATAATTTCTGTGGGGCTCATAATTTCCTCCACCGAGTAAAGACCAGTAGGGGGAGAACATGCCGATGCAAATCAAAGGTGCAGAATGCAAATTCAGTAAGTTATTCGATGAAATTTACCAATTTATAGTAATTTTGCTTGGTAGTTACGGCGCAGATGACGCAACAGTCGCAACCATTTCGTTAAAACATTATTGGCGTAACTTTGTCTGTAGATATCATTAGTCCTCAAGGTATCAAAGCACAATAAATGCTCATGAAGCTTCATTTCTCAACTATTTGCAAACCCCACGTTAACCAATCCGATGCTTCTCATTTAGTGATGCATTAAGGAGGTTTCTATTTAAGGGTTACAGTTTACGTAAACCAAGACTATGCCCAGCATTCGCCGCCACAACAACCAATCAAAGTGGTCCGGACGGACTTCTCGGCGGTGTGTCCATTCCTGACCACCAACCCCGATGGGCTTTCGGCTTGCGTTGACATGTAAATTGGCCAAATAAGACGACGGTAGTCTTCTCCACGAATGTATTTTACAATTTACTTTCAAAGGGGCACTGAAAAGAGCGAACGAGAACTTCGGGGCGTCGGTGGGATTAAATCATTTACCATCGATGGTAGTTAACAGTCTCCATCATGAATGCACAAAAATCTCCTGAGCTATGCTATCAAAAATTGGGTTATTGAGACGCACACACACTCCGATTCTGCTGCAGAAGATGAGGAAGAGACCTGGCCAATGAAGGCGCAGGAGGGGGTGATGATAGGGAGAAGGAGGGGAGGGTGGCGACTGGGGAGGGTGTTCAGGACTTACCAAGGTTCCTCGTAATCAAGTAGAGCTGGTCCAGATCCGATCTGCCAGGCCAAAGGGGCACCCGCGTCAGCATCTCCGCGAAGACGCATCCGACAGCCCAGATGTCCACCGGGGGACCGTAGTGCGTGTCCCCGACCAGCAGTTCCGGCGAACGGTACCACCGCGTGGCTACGTAGTCGGTATAGGTGCCGCCTGTATCGACTGCTCAAGAGCATGACAAAAAGATGTCACGTGACGTGCTCGTCTGCTTGTCGTCTGCTGGATTACCATCTACTAACACCGCACTCCTCCAATTGGTCATTTCGGTGGTCAAAAGTGTCTTGTGGAAGGCGGCCTTCCTCAAGAACTTAGGCCTTTTCTATAATCGTGGCAATGAGCACCGTCTTCTCGACGAAGTGCTATTTCCTGTCAAGAGACACACACCAAACAACGTCCCACCATGTGAGTCATTCTGTTTTGCAGACGACTGTCTGGTATCTGGAGGAGGTGCTATGGTTCAGGGTGCTAGTCAAGTATACGGGACCGCCTACTCATAAGCCCCTGTGAATGTACCATCCCTGCTACTCACTTTTCACTTAAACTAGTTCACTCTGTATTGGTCTGAACGAAGTTATTCATGCACGGCCTTGAGTACACGCAGGAGACCACACAGTTTGGTTGAACCAGTTAAAAACGGCTAAGTCTGCACCATCGTTCTACATCGGGCCACGCCAGGTTCCCCAACAATTACATGTAGGACACCTGTTGAATCAGTGACTACCACTGGACCAGCTGGAAGCAGTGCTCTCATTGTCGGAAACCTCTGTCCAGCATCATCCGTGCATCGGTCGCGGCGACAGAAAGCCTTGATCCAATGTGGACAGTGATTTCGCCGGAACTAGCAGCTGGACCCAGTGCCTCATGTTGGTCGACTGTTGGAGATTCAACACATGAATTTTCTCAAACAACTACCTTCTAGCGGATTCAGTAGGCTCAAGGTCTTGTGTTTATCATTTCATTGGCGATTGTAATACATTGTGAAGACACGAAGTTTTGAGACGCATGCAGCATCCAAGCTCAAACACATTCAAAAATAAAAATTGCCTACCACAAGTAATAGAATAGCAAATTCTATTGATTTATTCATTCGATGGGGAAAAGTGAATGAGTCATCCCTTAAATTAGCGATTGTTCAAGCGCAATTTTACGCTAGAGAATAGAACCGAGGGCATTTCACACAAAGAACATCAAACTTAACCCGAAAAATCACGGAATGACTCACCCAAAAATCGAGCAAATCCGAAATCACACAATTTCACATCTCCCTGGGCATTAATGAGGATATTTTCTGGTTTGATGTCCCTGTGAATGCACTAGAGGTTAGTTTATGCACTAAACACGGGACCTATCGACTCACATTTGATTGATGGCAAAAGTTTATACCCTGGAGGATCTGCCAAGTGATCCGCACGATTTTCTCCCTATCAATTCCACTAAAATCGATAAAAAAGGTGGCATTTTTGAGGGGCAAGGGAGGGGCAAGTGAAAGATGGCTCCCACCGCAGCTTCTTACCCCGAGGCCTGGCTATCCAGTTCGTGGAGTAGACTGTGGTCGATGTACTGAAAGACCAAGTGGAGCTTCTTTTTTCGTCTGAAAACCTCAATTAAATTCACCAAGTTGGGATGCTTCAATCTCTGTAAAACGAAAAATCCGTCATTGGTATATTTTGGATGACACTCGGCGTAGACACTGCCTTATGTAGTGAACTTTGCTATGGATCAGGATGAATGATCCGGTCTACGCTTGAATCTAAGTCGGGTTTGACTAATAGTGCCGCAATAATCGAGTAGGTTTGTGGAATAATGTTGGTTAGGTTGTAGGGGAAAGAAAGACACCACCCGTGAGTGATACGTGTATGCTGGCCCCACTGTACCGATGACTCACCCTATTTGTTATTGGCTCCTGTTAGCAGTCGCCTGTTACCCACGCGTACTCATACGCACACAAAGCCACTTGGCTGGTGTGAAACCAATAAACGGTCGTGTCCTCTGTCGCCTCCTTTTCCCCCTCTCTTCGGGTTGTAATAGTCTGTTAACTAGAGGGTTGTTAGGTGACCCCGACGTGATGAAATCACTTTATTTTTGACTCCGTTGATGGGTGATCTCAGTCGAATTTTTCACTACCCTCGTCTGTTTACAATGAGCGACCCTATTGCTGTAAACCTCTGTTTGGGAAACAGAATTTCAGTCAACTTCCTCCCGTACAGTCCTGACTTGAGGCCCATTTTCTCAACCAGATGACTACCTCCCAGTTCTCCAAGTATTTGCGTGTTGTTGCATGGCTACCGAGAGATGTTGCCACAGAAGTTAACGACTTGCTTGGAACATTGCTTTCTGAAAACTCCTATGAATATTTGAACGATGCCGCTCTCACACGATTGATCAGCGTGACCGAGGCCCGTCGTCGACGCCTAGTTTCTGGTCTCCTTCTCCACTCCTTCGGCATATACGCCTCTTAGTTGATTTTCATCTGGTGTCAGCGTAAACTGTCCTGGATGTCACCCATTTTGAAATTGTTCCAACGACTTATCAGTTTTGCTCTGACTGCCAATGGGTAAGCCGCAGTCACGTGATTTCCCTCCATCGCATCAATAAATTAGTACAAAACAAGCGCTTTTATGCCGCTTAGTTGACAGGCCCATTTAGTGCACAAAAGTAAACGACTTGAGTAACAAAATGTGAAAAAATGGCACGTCAGCTTGGACGGGGGCTTCAAAGTGCCTAGCAAGGCGGTCGAACTTACTTTGAGCATGCGGATTTCGCGAAAGGCTATTTTCTTCACCAGCGGATCATCGTCCGAGGCGGTGAAGCGTTTCACAGCGACGACGTCCCCGGTTTGAGTGTCGAGACACTTGAAGACCATGCCGTAGGCCCCCTCGCCAATCTTGGAAAGCTTCTCATACCGACTGAAAAGGAGGTGTTGACTAGAAGGGGGAAGACAGAGTCTTAAGGCAGCCGTTTCAAGGGACACAGTGATTTGAGGTGGTTTGCAGTTACTGTTTCACCTCTTCAACCGCGTGGATATCAAACTGTGAATCTGTCGCCCTGGTAAAACCGTAATTTTCCAAAAATCTTAGTGTGCTCATAGGACACTACAACTCACAAGTGAGTTGAGCCCTACGACGAATCCTTAGTGTCTCCGTTCTCAAGTGTCACTGTTCAGCACTCGGACCAATGAAATCCGGCAGCGGATCATCGCAAAATGCCCTAACAGGAGCTTTCACCCTCCCTTCCACTGTGTTGTGAAATGGTTTCGGCATAAATACAGGTTAAAAGTTATTTCTAGCTGGGATGCCCACCCAATGCTCCAACCAGTTACCGTGAATTCTCCCACCACAAAAATCAGCCACAGACGAGTCACTTGCAGTGATGGTTTTCCGAAATGGCACGCCTGACACCCCTAAACAACTGTCTCTGGTTGCCATCGTGTGCTCTGGTGAATCACGATGTTGTAGCCGCACTTCAAATTGCCAGACCCAGGGCATACCGACTAACATGTCTTAGTTTCTAGCTTGGTTTCAGGAGTTTTAACTATGTAACCGTCAGTGTGATCGTGGAATGAGGTGGTAGAGGGTGCGAACAAGCCAACTACACCCACTTGCTTGACCGCTGACCCCTGGCACGCTGTCGCCCTGGCGACGGAGATTCGGCGTTGAGATTCCGAGGTGTTGTGGCCGGCTGGCTTGTCTCAATGTGCGTTTCCAGCTGCACTCCGCTGTTTGTCACCGCAGTCGGCTCCATTGAGAAAAACCCGCCTTAAATATGCAAACTTTGCGTTAGTGGAAAATCAATTCAAGCACTGGACTATCAAACTGGCTACTTTCGGTGACGAAGATGTTACTATAATTATTCTGATTTCCCTGCCAGTTGAAATACTTGATTATCATCAAGCCCTAGTGTTGATATTTAAACACCCATAAAACGTACTGGCAGTCGTGTTGACTAAAGCACATAAGAATCAGCCATATTAGACTGCAAACTCACTGGTTCGAATGAAGCGACCTTCCTGTGTAAGTTAGTGCGGTGACGATGAGCAGCCTACGCTGACAAGACTGATGCAATAGGTTGTGTAAGTCGCGGTGGCTCTTGTGGCAGCCAATCAGGTGAAGGGCGTTTCCTCAATTCGTGTGTCGCCATGACGACCGCCTATAGGCCCTAATCTCTCCGTTTTCCCACAGTGTCTTCTGTGGATGACATTGTGGTTTCTGCAGCTTCGCATTACTTGGCACCAGTTCGAAGTGGGCTTGGCTGAGCTGATATGCTTTTACACGGATGTCCTATTGTAGACACGAAGTATCTCCCAGATTTTGTGAAGCGCGGTGCGCATTTCCATCGATCGCATGTAATTGGCTCCAGTCATGTCACACTTTTGTGTACATGTAGAAGCTACTTTTAAGGTTTGGCAGCAGTATCCTGGATAGGGCAAGACTCGATTGAGAAATCCATTTCAGTGTTATAGAGCTTATTCCGGTTAAAACATCATCCAAGTGGCTTTTATTGTGGATTTAGGATGTTCATTGGCGGTCTTATTTAAACCCATTCATTGCCAATAACATCACAGTTTAGAGTTATTCCGGTTGCTCAAAACATCTATTCAGATAAAGCTAAGTTTCTGAATCTTACTATGACATTTTTTTGTTTAACGAGGTTCCGAAATTCCATCTAGTGACCAAGTAGTTAAATTACTTCAACGCACAACAAGTGGAAGGTCACGATGTCAACTGGGGTCAAAAAAGACGCCGTGACAGTTTAATCTCGTGGATGTTTGCAAATGCTTGTGACCTTCAAACGGTTGGATTACACAACTTACACCATCTGTCTGTCATGGCAACCTCTCACAGAGGTTGCCATTGTTTCCAATTTGTCCCAAAACCACGCTTCCGGTGGTCGATTAGTAAAGCAACTTTTTTTGTGTAACTCTTCAAGGTGATTTGAGCCGTGTTTCAGATGCTCGCACCATGTAGTATGAGCAAGGTAGTTATATAATTCTTCACTAAACTGGCTCATTATGTTCTACATCCTTTATGTTTCACAAGTTGGCTTTCGATGTAGAATTGGCATGACAAAATCTTGCGTTCGTTCACGCCAAAAATGTCAATTCGGGACACCAGCAGCGCTTTTTGGCAAAAGCTTCAGCTTCGGCGCCTCGAGTTAAAAAAGACGCCTTTTTCATCACGTTCCATTCTCTGTTAACGGATATAAACAAGGCTTGTGCGGTTCTTTTTTTAAATAAACAAGCGCACTACCGATTCATTTGCACTGTTGTGTCTCAATTTCAATGGCAATTGTGTTTCTGACATCTAAATTTGGACAAGAAATTGGCAAACGGATGACCTCAAGTCTAAACTCGACTCACGTTCTGAAATGTGATTGGATGACACTGATTTGATGTCCCAATGGATTGTGTAGTGCAGTTGACAAGGTGTAGGGTGACCGTGCCAATGTGGGCAAAAGTGTGATTTCTGCTCAGGCCATTGTTTAAATGAAGACTAAACCCTACTCATGGTGTGTCATGTGATTGGATAACACAAATTTCAAGTCAGATTCAGTTGTTTAAAACCGGTGCTCACACGATAAAGAAACGTGTTTTTTTTCTGTAACCATCGAAACTGGTTGTTGATGGATGAGATTTGCATATGGTGGGTGGAGACAAAATATTGCATGATTACTTAATAATGTGGTTCCCCTTTATGAACCACTTAGCTCAATAAAAATGCCTGGACACGGAGATATCCCATTGGTTTACGTGTCTCAAATGCTACACGTGTACTGAGCAAGCACCTGTTTGAGCTGATTATGGACCGATCTGTTTAGTAAATACAAAAACCAGGAAAGCGAGCTGTTGCTGGTTTGGCAATTAAATTCGTCACACGCACACACACACACGATAACTCAGTCATTGTAAAAATCCAAGACCACATCGATTGATGCGTCTCACAGACAGGAAAAATTTGTGTGGACGGTTAGAGTTCTTCGTTTGTAGTTGCTTCAGGTCAACTGAACTACTAAAGTCAGCATTTGAAAGTTGTCGAAGACGGCAAGACGCAAAGCCTTAAACGGTCAATTCAACCGGAACGTCTGGCTCTGTTTTTAAAAAAAGCATTAAATCTCGGAAATGTGCATTTAAACCTGTCGAAGGCCGAAATGTATTCCCAACGCCAGCATCCAATACCGGGCCTGAAGCGTTAGTGGGGTGTTAATTAGCTCCGAGGGAAGGGTGAGGTCAGAGGTCATAAACTGAGTGAGAATCCAGAGTGCGTATTGGCGGATTGGGCGTGGCAGGAGACAGGCACTCGCCAGCCGAATTCCCCTTGTGTACCCTTCCGTCCCTCTCTCCTTCCTTCTGACACTGCATCGTCACCTCTTCTGCTCCACCCCCACCCCCACGATTTTTTCTCAATTTCCAAAAATGTTTAACCTCGAAAAACACTAACCCAAGTCATCTCACTGGAAGGTAAATCGATTTCAGCCAATGAGACTTGAGACAAATCAGTGTTAGTCCAAACTGAGCGCCTGCTGTGAAATTTGTGTCAGCTGATGTCACCCATCACCCGTTCACACGGAAAACGTTTTCTAAACCACTCACAGCTGCTGTTTGTTGTCAGATGTCCTCCTGATTACAGCTACCTGAAGTTGTGGTCAGAAAGTGAAGAAAAATTGTTCGAAAAGCATTCCGGGTATGAACGATCGAATGCTTTGTCTACGACTTCCCTCGTGGCAGTGTAGAGACGTAATACGGATGAGTCAGCTCCTCTTTAAACTTTCTTACCCAAAGGCCATTCAGGTGTGGGCGGCCTTGAGCTCAACTCAGAGTAAGGCGAATGGACCAATGAGAATGAGGCGGCCGATTCGAATATCAGAAAATGGTGTTCATAAATGCAATTGATAATAAATAGTAGAAAATGCTCGCCGTCGCCTCGATTCTTTCATATACCCCGGGACACCTTCATTTTGCATGCTGGTTGCCACAACAACTAATGACCTAGACGTAATCACTAGGCTCAATTAGTGCCCAGGAGAGCCCCAGTTGCAAGTAGGCATGAATCCGCTGTCACCACAGAGAGGTGTTGCAATAACGCGACTACTGTCTGTTACCATGGTAACAAGGTAATAGCAATTATGCCTTGGAAAATTCAAATTTGTTCGTCTTGCTTCTAAATAAATTATTTAAAGCGTAGCTAAAGGGTAAGCAAAGTGTCGCTATTTAAACCACTTAATTATGCAAAAAAATTGCCGTTATTCCACCAAAATGTGTTCATTTTAATTAGTTGTAATCTGCCGTGATCTACAACAAAACCCTGTAAAGGTTGTTACTTATTTTATAAAAGTAAAAATGTAAACGAACTCACAAGTAATACCCAACTGCAATCACACGATAAGGAAGCGTCTTCTGCTGGTAGTTATTCAGACAATGTTCCCAACAAATTTTCAATGAAAGCAGAATCGAGGGCTGTAAGTTACGGTTTAAACGCGACGATAGCGATAGTCATTACGCGTTTAACAAAGCTTATTTCAAAAACTTTTGAATATGGATTTACACTGGGTGGATCTTCCTTCGAAAGTGGAGCAGGTGCAAGCAGGAGATTTTAGTGATTTAAGGCTTGTTTTTCCCTGATGAACTTGGCTGTCACGTGGCTACTCATTGCGTTTTAGGAATATCGCATAGGAGGATCGATTTTTCATCATTTAACCAATCCACACAACTAGGACTTTTTACTAATTTAAACAATTCACCAGACCTTATTTGGGCGAATTTTGTGGAATCGCGGACTTCTATAATTTTTTCTAGCTACTGATGTTAGTAATTTTGTGTAAAGTGTCGGTGGGATGATTGCAAAAGTAACTACATTTGGGTGACCTTCACTTGACGCCACTTGTGGTACATGAGTGCACTCATTTAACTTAAACACCGCACACGTGGTGGCGCGATTTTCGAAAAGAAGATTGGAAAGAGTGTGTGGTTAAATCGATCGTGAGATGTGTTGGTACTTTGCGAAACTGGTCCTGTTAACAAATCAAAATTTTCACACAATCAAACTGTAACGTTTGTCACGTTATTTACGTATAACGCATTGTTCTACTAAACTGTTTTTTTTAGAGAAGTATTCAAATTCCCCAATAGTTGTAAAGATTCCTTGTTGTATACATTTACTGTTTGCTCTACTTACTGTCGTAATATTTATTTACGATTTTGCCTGTTACTAAAAAACATGCTCTGTGAACGAATTGGACAAATCCTTTTTCCGACAAGAGTTCGTGTGGAGAACTTTTATTGTTTCAGCCAATGGTTGAGTGTCACATCAGAGTTCAGGGTTTAAATGAGTGACCTGAGGGGTCAAGAGGGAGGAACACAGGTAGACCTATCAGTGGAGTGCCATAGATGTGGTTACCAATGAAGTGGCGTGATTGGAGGGGTGTAGCTACGTAGATGGGCGCAGACATGTTGGACCAAGCTGGCCTCAGTCAATGCTCTGTCGCTCTGATTTCCAATGGCATCCGAGGAAGATAACCAGCCAACCAGAGAAAGACACCAATGAGTAGCAGCATATAGTGATCGGCTTTGCCAGAGTGCTGGTCTCTGATGGACAGCTCCTGACATGTGGTTCTGGCTTGTGATTGGTCAATAAAGCCTGTTCTGTTGTGCCAGTCTTTTTCATACTAGATCTCGAGTATTCTACACGGGTTAAGTTTTGGGGCGCAGACATATTGAATCACGCTGACCTTGTAGGGGCCGAGTTTAG